TTAAACATTTTTATTTGCTATTGTCTCTAATGTAGTTCTGTTGTTCTTTTTAATAACGGTATTAAGTGGGTTTAGTTTACACACATTGCACGTTAACAATCATACTTTCTAAAGAAGCAATCCATAGCGTTCCGAAATCCAGGAGTCCAAATAAAAGTTCTCCAGTGTAAAATCTCTACAGAGATAAAAAGAATTCTGCATTTCAGAGTTGGCTTGTTGAACCAGGTGAAGAATTTGGCTATATGCTTCCAAGATTGAAAATGGTTTTCTTTATTGTACTCTCAATTGTGTTTTTTTTAAATCTCTTACAGCAGTCTCTACCTCAGGCACTAAGTGTTATGATAAGGTTAGCTTATTGATACGAAAAGGTTAGCTAGGACTTCCAACTTTTTAGGATAATTTAAATGTAAAATTCAACTGTTATCCAGCAATCTGATGTAATGTGTGCAGTTTGGATATTGCATGAACATCTAAGGAATTACCTGTTCTAGTGCCAAAGATCACTTGTTGCTGATTTTGTTCTGTAGAGTGTATGTAAAACTTTCATGGTGGAGACAGACTTTGTGCTCAGGACCTTGTCTCTAGGAAGATTTTGTCATTGCCAAGCGTTTTATCAGTTCCAAATACAGTTTAGAAGATTAATTTGTGGTCTGTGCATCCTTTCCCAAAACTCGAAACCCATTGAAAACTGGGCTGCCAGGAAATGTCATATTGGGGTTTTTACCCCATTCTTTATATAAAATAGCACCCAAAAGTTTACACAGGAAACCTGATATGAAAATCTCTTCTTCGTACATTCACCTGTAAATTGGTCTTGGTGAGAATACATGAACAGAGAAATTTCCAACTAAAGGTTTGGGCTCAAAAGATGTCCTTTTTCATAGCTGGGTTGGAGCTCTTCTAGGACTGCTGTGGCTACACAGATGGCTGTATTTGTGGAGTCACAGTCTGGGAAGCATAGGTAGCCTGGTGAGGAGGCTGCGGTCTAAGCTTGGAAGCAGGTAACACAGGCTCCCTTTGGATCTTGAGGCTTTTCCTCTAGGAGTGCCTTCTGAGAGGGACACTCCACAATAGCAGAGACAGCATTGTCGCTGGAATGCCTGATCCACCTCCTGAGAAGGGAAGAGTGTGGGAGAGGGTGGATGAGAGGGGAGCATTTATCGCAACAATGCCCTCTGTTCCCACAGACTTGGGAGAGCTGACTGGTAGGACATGCACAGAGCCCACCCTCAGCAGCACAGATGGTGCACTGGTCAGCTAACCATATTTGGTAATAAACTTGTGAGCTGTTTGAAAGCTGTTGGAACTATTAAATCACTCCAATTCTGTTAGGGTTTTTTATTTTGGGGTTTTTTTAGTTTTTTTGTTTTTTGAGACAGGAACTTGCTCTGTTGCCCAGGCTAGAATGCGGTGGTGTCATCATAGCTCGCTGCAGCCTCAAATTCCTGGGCTCCAGCGATCTTCCTGCCTCAGCCTCCCAAGTAGTTGGGCCTACAGGCTCGAGCCAACACACCTGGCTAATTTTTCTATTTATAGAGACGGAGTCTCACTCTTACTTTGGTTGGTTTTGAACTCTTGGCCTTAAGCAGTCCTGCCTTGGCCTCCCAGAGTGCTAGGATTACAGGAGTGAGCCACCGCGCCAGGCCTGTTAGTTTTGGAAATACATTCTTTGGCAGATTTGCCAACAGACCAGCGGCTAATACTTGAAAAAGGTACTGTGACATCACAATGTTGAATCTGTT